TCAAGAATATAGCTGTAGATGCCCTTTGTCTTTCTGCTTATCAACTGTTTCAATAAGACACTGCAGAGCAGTATGGGGTCATGAAGGTCAAGCTCCTTAACCTTGCTCCCTACTGAACAAAAGTCATTACCAAAAACACATAATGGGACAGTTCAGTGGTACGTGTTCCACCTCCCACTTGAACTGGCACTGAATGCAGTGTTACCAGTGAAAACCCGGTATGCAACAGGAAGAGATGTATCCCTCTGTCCCAGGAAGGACCAGTGCAAGCGTACACAGGGTCTTCAGAAAGTTCATGGACAAGGCGCGCTACCGCTGCAGCCCCTGGGAGGCAGCAGTGATGGTTTAAGAAGCTGGGTTCCTCCTACCCACGCAGGAGGCCTGGACTACCTTCCTAGCTCCTGGCTTCAGTCCTGGTGCAGCCCCAGCTGTTACAGGCATCTGGGGAGTGAACCAGTGACGGGAGCTCTCTGCCTCACGAATGAAAAACTAATACTTACTTGCAGATTTTTTTTTTTTTTTTTTTTTTTTTGACAGGCAGAGTGGACAGTGAGAGAGAGACAGAGAGAAAGGTCTTCCTTTGCTGTTGGTTCACCCTCCAGTGGCCGCCGCAGCCGGCGCGCTGCGGCTGGCGTACCGTGCTGATCTGAAGCCAGGAGCCAGGTGCTTCTCCTGGTCTCCCATGGGGTGCAGGGCCCAAGCACTTGGGCCATCCTCCACTGCACTCCCGGGCCACAGCAGAGAGCTGGCCTGGAAGAGGGGCAATCGGGACAGAATCCGGCGCCTCGACTGGGACTAGAACCCGGTGTGCCAGCGCCACAAGGCAGAGGATTAGCCTAGTGAGCCGCGGAGCCGGCCTACTTGTAGATATTTTATATCAATGCCTTTTCAACATTTTATTTTCATCATGCCTTTTACGTTTTACAGAGAGATGAAGCTGGCATTCTGTTGTAGTGGGTAAAGCTGTCACCTGTGACGCTGGGGTCCCACATGGGCGCTGGTTCAAGTCCCAGTTTCTCCACTTCTGATCCAACTCCCTGCTAATGGCCTGGGAAAAGCAGCAGAAGATGGCCCAAGTCCTTGGGCTCCTGCCACCCACATGGGAGACCTGGAAAAGCCCCTGGCTCCTGGCTTTGACATGGCCCAGCACTAACCACTGGGGCCATCTGGAGAGTAAACCAGCTGATGGAAGATCTCCGTCTCCATCTCTCTCTCTCCTTCCCTCACTATAACTCTTTCAAAATAAATAAAGCAATCTTTAAAAAAAAAGGTATACTGAAAGAAGGAAGCTATTGCTCCACACTTGTGAGCAGTGAAACCCTCGATGACCTGGCAGCTCGTCCTCATGCTTACAGAACCAACATCTCTGCTGTTAACAACAAGGCCACCTAAAGGGCACTTCTGACTGCTCCCACCACTCACTACAGTTTACAGCATGAACGTCTGCACAACACCTGGTTCAACTTCTGGCTCGGCGCTTGGCCGTGTGACCGTAAGGTGCGTTGTTTGACCGCTGTGCCTCAGTGCCATGGAGACACAGAACTCAGAGCAGTCCTTACAAAGGGCAAGGGCTTCACTAACCTTAGACTTCTCCTAAAGAAGTTGTCACAGGATCCTCAGACATTGGAATACTACGTGACGAGCCAAAATTTAATAAATTCTAGTGAAAGGAAGGAGGAAGGGCATCGTGAAGTGTGTCAAATATGAGAGGGATGTACGGGGTCTGGGCCGTGTGCTTGAGAAGTGAGAGTGCATCAATTCATGCAGCAAGCGGCCCTGAGAGAGGAAGGGAGGGGGCATGCTGCCCGTGCCGCTGCGCGGGCTGCTCGGCCTGGGGGCTGGGCCGGCAGGAGCGTCACCACCGCCAGATCTACGTCCTGGAAGCCAGCCCCGACCTGGAGCCACGGAAGAGTCAGGACTGTGCTACCAGGAATTGCAGCGACTTAGAATCTGACGTGGCAGTGCAGAAACAATTGCTCAGAGCAGTCAGCAACACGGCTGCTCCCCGTGCAGCACCTACAGTTCTAAACAGATGCTCACGCGCAACGACAGGAGAGAAGAGAGGGAGATTTGCTGGTCTGCGCTGGCAGGGTATCACAGACAGTGAGGCGGCACCAACGCATCAGCACTATCTTGCCTTTCAGAGTGACTAATTTAGAGAGTAATTTTGTTAGGGCTAGCGCTGTGGCATAGCCTGGGAAAGCAAAGGGAGATGGCCCAAGTGCTTGGGTCCCTGGACCCACTTGGGAGACCTGAGAGAAGCTCCTGGCTCCTGATTTCTGCCTGGCCCAGCCCTGACCATTGCTGCCATTTGGGGAGTGAACCAGCAGATCTCTCTGTCTCTCCCTCTCTCTCTGTAACTCTGCCTTTCAAATAAGTAAATAAATAAATCTTTTTAAAATGAAGAATTATTATCTAATGAATGTTAGACTATCTCAATTCAATAGATGAAAAAGATGCTATAATTTACCTTTACATTAACTGAATTTGCATAAATGTTTATTGACTCAAGAGGGATATATTTTCCGGAAGCTACCTAGTTAACTCGCCTTAACATCCACATAAACCATCTATCTATTTCCTTAAAGGACTGTCTAACTATTCACATGAATAGTTGATCCTATTCATTTAAACATTTCTGGGCTGGTATTGTGGGTTAGCATTAGGGTTAGGGTTAGGGTTGGGGTTGGGGTTGGGGTTGGGCTTGGGGTTGGGTTAGGGTTAGGGTTGGGTTGGGTTAGGGTTGGGTTAGGGTTAGGGTTAGGGTTGGGGTTGGGGTTGGGCTTGGGGTTGGGTTAGGGTTAGGGTTAGGGTTAGGGTTAGGGTTGGGTTAGGGTTAGGGTTGGGTTAGGGTTGGGTTAGGGTTAGGGTTAGGGTTAGGGTTAGGGTTAGGGTTAGGGTTGGGTTAGGGTTAGGGTTAGGGTTGGGTTAGGGTTGGGTTAGGGTTAGGGTTGGGTTAGGGTTAGGGTTAGGGTTAGGGTTAAGCTGCCACTTGTGATACTGGCATCCTATGAGCACTAGCCCAAGTCCTGGCTGCTCCACTTCTATCCAGCTCCCTGCTGATGAGCCAGGGAAAGCAGCAGAGGATGGCCCAAGTGCTTGGGTGCCTGCAACCCATGCAGGAGATCCTGATTAAGCTTTTGCCCAGACCAATCCTGACCATTGCAACCCTTTGGGGACTGAACCAGCAAATGGAAGATGTCTCTCTCTGTAATTCCATCTTTCAAATAAATACACAAATCTTTGAAAATCTCCACATCTGTCAGTCATCTTGAATAGTAAAAGGACAGTGTTCAGTATCATCGCTCACTGTGGGATTTTACTCTCGCAACAAATCACAACAGCACATACTCAAATGGACTGACCACCTGCCAGGCATCACTGCAGGTCACACGCACGCACACACACAACCAGTCCTGAAAACAACCTCTGAATAGATGCCTTATTATTCTGATTTTACAAAACTGCATAAACCAAACTAGCCACCAAGGAAGAGAGACCACGCAGGACGTCCGCTGTGGTGAGTGGCAGCGCGGGAAGCTGCACTCAGCACATGGGCACCTGCCCTTTGGCAGCAGCAGGACAAGGGAGGGCTCACACGTGAGGGGCGAGGGGCTTGAGGAAACAGCACTTGTGAAGGCTGCGGGGCAGGCGTGAGGTGGGGGCAGAGGAAGGTGGGACTGAGGACAGGAAACACGCCACATGTGAGCCCAGAGAAGGCACAGGGAACCTGTCTCCCAGGAGCACACAGGTCAGGACAAGGGACGGGAGAAGGACGGGAAGCCCCTGGGGCTTCAGGGCAGGGCTGGGGGCACGGCAATCAGAAAGCCACTGTGAAAGGCACTTTGGTACACAAGGTGAGGATGCAGGTGGCCAGGTTAGGAGCTACAGGGAGGTCAGATGGTGCTGGTGGATGCAGGAGGCACAGATCGCTAGGGCAAGGAGAGAGCTGAATTTCAGGGAAGGAGGGCGTGACTCCTAGGTTTCTGGTTGTGCAGCTGGAAGCATGGCAGTGTGATTCCACCAGATGGAAATGCTCAGTGAGGGACAGAGGTGTAGGGGAGCGATCAGCTTGGTGCCAGACATGCCAGGCAGGAGAAGCAGCTGGCTATCTAAGAGGAGGTGTCCAGTGGGCAGGTGGACAGCAGGCCTGGACCAGAGACGTGTGTCCTGCAGTCTGTGTACAGATGACAACCCACATCACAGGGGTGCACACGTACGGTCCTACAAAGAGACTGAAGAGGCCTATCCCAGAGCCCTGAGAACCTGGACGATTTACTAGACCTTAAAGAGGAAAGACAAGGGTGAGCGTGCAAAGGAGGTGCTGAGGGACAAGGGCAAACCAGGGCGGTCATCCCCACAGAAACCACGGGCAGAGGGTGGGGAAGATGGAATCGGCAGCCAGGTGCTTACGAAAGGTCAAGAAACAGATGGGGGGCTCATCAGGTGGGGGGCTGTGTGGGGGCCAGGTCAGAGGGGAGTGAAGAGTGGCAGGTGGAGGAAAGAGTGAGTCCAAAAAACGGGGACGGCAGGTGCTGCTGAGGGGCCCCGCTGGCCCCACTATGCGACTTGCAGGGCTCGAGGCTTATGGGCAGGACAAAGGGAGGGTGCACTTAGCAGTCACCCAACAGGGGGCTTGAAGCAAGGTGCAACACAAAGTTCAAAGGGCAAGGGAGGTTAGGAACTTGGCACAGGTGCTGCAGATGAGGAAGAGAGAGGCAGCAGGACCAGGAGAGGACAATGGGAAGACAGGAGTCCTGACCGCAATGGAGGGCTCAGCAAGCAGCTGGTGGGAGAGAGGCTGTGGGCCGAGGACACGGTACTTGAATCTAACCTATCAATTGTTATTAATAGTCCTTAAGAGATTACTTGAACAAATCATTAATTAGTTTGACCATTAGCCATTAGTGCATAGGATGTGATATGACAAAGGGCTGAGCTCTTAGACACCTAAGAAAAAGACCACCCACCCACTGGGGACAAGGAACCCAACACCCTACTTGGCTGGGGTTTCCTCCTCCAGGGTGGCCTGGGACTCCTCCATCACTGCGGCCTCTTCTGCTGCGGCGGTCGGCTCCATGTCACTGAAAGACAGCAAGAGCCCCTCAGGTCACACAGGTGTGCTCACATCCATGTCCTAATATAATCAAGATGGAAAACGGGGGCAGGGGTTGTGGTGCTGCCTGAGAGGCCCGCATCCTATACCAGAGTGCTGGTTTGCGTCATGACCGTTCCATGCTTCTGATCTGGCTCCCTGCTAACGCCTCTGGGAAGGCAGCAGGTGATGGCGCCAAGTGCCTGGGCCCCTGCCACACTCATGAAGACCAGGATGGAGCTCCTGGCTCCTGGCTTCTGTCTGGCCCAGCCCTGGCTGTTGTGGGCATTTGGAGGAGTGAACCAGTCAGTGGATGGAAGACCTCTCTCTCTTTCTTCCTCCCTCCCTCCCTCCCTTCCTTTCTCATTCTGCTTTTCAAATGAATAAATCTAAAAAAAAAAATTGAGAAAATGTTTCAACTGTCTTTTTCTTAAGGATATGTCCTTCAAGGAAATATATATATATACCCACATTAATAGGTAACAGTCTGAGCTGCTTATCTATATATGTAATTTCCAAACATGTGAAAAGTTCCTTAAGAAACAGAAGTTTCCATGAATGACCTTAAATTAACAGTAGACTGTAAATAATCAGGAAAAAGTATTCAAAACTCCTAGTTATACTAGAGAACCTGAAGTATTAAAAGGAACCATAAATATGAGCTGGCACCGCGGCTCACTAGGCTAATCCTCCACCTGCAGCGTTGGCACCCTGGGTTCTAGTCCTGGTTGGGGCGCTGGACTCTGTCCCGGTTGCTCCTCTTCCAGTCCAGCTCTCTGCTGTGGCCTGGGAAGGCAGTGGAGGATGGCCCAAGTGCTTGGGCCCAGCACCCCATGGGAGACCAGGAGGAAGCACCTGGCTCCTGGCTTCAGATCGGCACAACACGGCAGCCGTAGTGGCCATTTTGGGGGTAAACCAACGGAAAGAAGACCTTTCTCTCTCTTTCTCTCTGTATCTCTTTCTCACTGTCTAACTCTGCCTGTCCAAAAAAAAAAAAAAAAACATAAATATGAAGGGACTTCAAAAAGTTTGTAGACAATGGAATTAGGCCAGTGCCACGGCTCAATAGGCTAATCCTCCGCTTGCGGCACCGGCACCCCGGGTTCTAGTCCCGGTCAGGGCACTGGATTCTGTTCCGGTTGCCCCTCTTCCAGGCCAGCTCTCTGCTGTGGCCAGGGAGTGCAGTGGAGGATGGCCCAAGTGCTTGGGGCCTGCACCCGCATGGGAGACCAGGAGAAGCACCTGGCTCCTGCCTTCGGATCAGCACGGTGTGCCAGCCGCAGCACGCTGGCGCAGTGCCATGAGGTAACTACAGAAAGAGACTTTCTCTCTGGCTCTCTCCTCACTGTCATCTGCTGTCCCCCCCCCCAAAAAAAAAATGGAATTAAAAGAGAACTTTATAATGGTGCAATAAAAATTTAAATCCATGCATAGTTTTTTCAAAAGTTGCATTTCCTTGAACTTCTTAAAGAGTCGTCCTCTTTTTTTTTTTTAAAGATTTATTTATTTATTTAAAAGTCAGAGTTACAGAGAGAGAAGGAGAGACAGAGAGATCTTCCATCCATTGGTTCACACACCAAATGGCTGTGACCACCAGGGCTGGGCCTAGCTGAAGCCAGGAGCCCAGAACTCCATTTGGGTCTCCCACGTGGGTGCAGGGCCCCAAGCACTTGTGCCATCTTCTGCTGCTTTCCCAGGTGCATCAGCAGGGAGCTGCATCAGAAATGGAGCAGCTGGGACTCAGTGGGTGCCCACATGGGACGCAGCATCACAGCCAATGGCTTAACTTGTTGAGACACAGCGCTGGCCCCCAAGTCCTCCTCTTTTTAAACTACAAGGATTAAGCCATTCATTAAATCTAAGAATATGCCATATCTTTTAGAAAAATGATAAGAAAGTAGAAATAGGCCTCACAAAAACGAGTATGTGTGATTATAAATAAGTTAGTGATAACTGTCCAAGAAAGCCAGAGCTTTGAAACTTATGCACCATCGCATCCAAATAAACACAGTCCATAGGTGAGAAACGACAACTCGATGAAAAAATATGAACGTTAATATACATGTTAATTTTATATTAACACGAATCCTATCTAAACAGCACTTTAAATAAAACCTCCCAGCAAAAGAAATTTCACCTTCAGTAAACTGCTAAATTAACCAACATAAACATATACACTGGAAATCTAGCACTTTTTCAACTCTTTTCATTAAAAAGCTGCAATGAGCTTAAAAATGTTATTTTTTAAAAAGTAAATATAAATATAAATTGAACTGTAATAACAGAATGGACTTTTTCAATTTATAATTTTTTATTCTCTAAATTATAATCAATTTTTAAAAACATTGTTTTTTAACAGAAAATTTGAATAATATTTTTCTTTTCTTAAAAATAGGTCCTGGAGGGCCAGCTCTGTGGCACAGCAGGGTAAGCTGCTACCTGCAATACCAGCATCCCATATGAATACCCGTTCAAGTCCCGACTGCTCCACTTCCAATCCAGCTCCCTGCTAATGCGCCTGGGAAAAGCAGTGGAAGATGGCCAAAGTGCTTGGATCCTGCCACCCACGTGGGAGCACCAAATATAATTCAGGGCCCCAGGCTTTGGCCTGACCCAGCCCCAGCTATTGTGGCCATTAGTGGAGTGAAATCAGCAGGTGGAAGATTTCAGTTTCTCTCTGTTTCTCCCTCTCTGTAACTCTGCCTTTCAAATAAATAAATAAATCTCTAAAAAAAAAGAAAAGAAAAGAAAGAAAAGAATAGGTCCCATAGGTGGCACTTGGCATAGTGGTTAATTAAGATGCTGCCTGGGATGCCCCCATCACGTATTGGAGAGCCTACATCCAAGTCCCTGCTCCACTTCTGATTCTAGCTTCCTGCTACTGCACAAGCTGAAAGGCAGGAGGCCATGGTTGAGTAGTTAGGCCACTACTTCTCACCGAAGAGGAGTCCACAATGGAGTTCAGGTTCCTGGTTTTGGCCTGGTCTAGCCCTGGCAGTTGAGAGCATTTGCACAGTGAACCAGTAGATGGACAATCTCTCTGTCTCTGTCTTAGCCTTTCATATAAATAAATTTTTAAAAAAAGCTTATTTATTTGAAAGGCAGAGTAACAGAGGCAGAGGCAGAGAGAGGGGTCTTCCATCCACTGGTTCACTCCCCAAATGGCTGCAATGGCCAGAGCTGTGCCAATCTGAAGCCAGGAGCCAGGAGCCTCCTCTGGTTCTCCCATGTGGGTGCAGGGGCCCAAGGACTTGGGCCATCTTCTACTGCTTTCCAAGGCCACAGCACCTATATGGGATGCCAGCACTGGAGGCGACGGCTTTACCCACAATGCCACAGTGTGGGTCCCTTTATATAGATAAAAATTTAAAGGAAATAGATCCTAAATCAAATATGTTCTATGTTTAAGAGGATGCTGCAGGACGGCACCGTGGCTCACTAGGCTAATCCTCTGCCTTGCGGCGCCAGCACACCGGGTTCTAGTCCCGGTCAGGGCGCCAGATTCTGTCCCGGTTGCCCCTCTTCCAGGCCAGCTCTCTGCTGTGGCCAGGGAGTGCAGTGGAGGATGGCCCAAGTCCTTGGGCCCTGCACCCGCATGGGAGACCAGGATAAGTACCTGGCTCCTGCCTTTGGATCAGCGCGGTGTGCTGGCTGCGGAGTGCTGACCGCGGCGGCCATTGGAGGATGAACCAACGGCAAAAGGAAGACCTTTCTCTCTGTCTCTCTCTCACTGTCCACTCTGCCTGTCACAAAAAAAAAAAAAAAAAAAAAAAAAAAGATGCTGCAGACTTGCAGACTTGCCAGCCTTCACAAATGGCCACACCCGAACATCTGCCTGACTCAAGGGGAGTCACTGGAACTTTAAGCGCTGAGTAGTCCCAAAGTCTAGCAATAGTAGCAGTACTGAGTTCCTCCGACGTTCTCTTTGTCCCTTAGCATGAATAAACCAAGGGCATTAACAAAATACAATTAATGAAAGTATGTGTATATATATATATATATATATTTGACAGGCAGAGTGGACAGTGAGAGAGAGAGACAGAGAGAAAGGTCTTCCTTTTCCGTTGGTTCACCCCGCAATGGCCGCCGCGGCCGGCGCACTGCACTGATCCGATGGCAGGAGCCAGGTGCTTCTCCTGGTCTCCCATGGGGTGCAGGGCCCAAGCACCTGGGCCATCCTCCACTGCACTCCCTGGCCACAGCAGAGAGCTGGCCTGGAAGAGGGGCAACCGGGACAGAATCCGGTGCCCCGACCGGGACTAGAACCTGGTGTGCCAGCGCCGCAGGCAGAGGATTAGCCTAGTGAGCCGCGGCGCCGGCCGAAAGTTTATATCTTTTGACAACAAAATATCATAAAATGGCTACAAAGTGAAGAGGAAGAAAAAAATGAAGCAGAATACACATAACAAAGAGACTAAAATTCATTGTTTTGTAAACTTGAAGCAAAATCACAGATTATTCCGTGTTGGCTTAGATTATTTTGCAAATAAACATGAAACTAATTCTTGTTTAAAGCTCTTTCAGAACCATGTGAGCAAAATAACAAAACAATCAATTTTCACAGTATGTCCTTCTGTTGAAATTAAGTTGCTGAGGCTGGACTGATGGGGAAGATGCAGCCCAGGGCCCATGTCTTTACTTCAGTTAGATTAGTGCAGAAAATGCCTGTTCTGGCAAGTGTGTGCCAAAAACAATGCCAAACACTTCAAAGGTTTGTTACCTAAATTGGTTTTTTTTTATTTCCCTTTGATAGGCAGAAAGACAGACAAGAGAGTAAGCCCCTATCTACTGGTTCACGTCCCAAATGTCCACAACAGCTCCTAACTGGGGCTGAAGCTAGAAGCCAGAAGTTCAACCCAGGTCTCCCACATGGGTGGCAGGAACCCAACTACTTGAGTTATCACCTGCTGCCTTCCAGGGTGTGCCCTGGCAGGAAGCCGGCATCAGGAGCAGAGCAGGGTATCAAACCCATGTAATCCAACAAGGGATGCAGGCATCTTAGCCACCTGGGCTAGAAGGTCACTCCCACTAGTTCAGATTTCATCAGACTTCACACTTAACCAAACCTGTAACTGGGAATAGATTTCCACCTGATGGTGCTTAATACTGACATAAACTGTCTTGCTCCTCACAATAAAAGTTGGAAGGAGCATCATTGAAAACTACATCACGAGTGTCTATTCCAATTGCTAACAAGAAAATGTATTTGATGTTACTCTTCTAAAATGACTGCAGATGGAAAAGGTTCTATTTTCAGCACACTATCAAACCGTTGAAGAAAACCAATAATACTGCAAATGGCTCCATCACACCATTTCAAAGACTCTTGTCCTTAATGGCAGCTATTGCTGCCAGTTCTTCAAGTAAGGAAATGAAACTAGAGCAAAACCCTCACACCCACAATGCCCCGTGCAGCTCTGCCTTTTCCAGCCACAGAGCATCACTCGATGTGTCGGGCTCACCTCCACTTTTCTCACTCATCCAAGGTAGCATGCAACCCCACTGCACTGCATTGTTCATTCTAGGACAACCTTTCGGTTATGAATTACTACCATCTAAGGGCATTAACTTTGCAACTCACAACTCAATCCAAACCAGTGTCACAGGGCAAGTATCATGTTAACACTGGGACTTGGGTGCCTGTCAGGGGCACACATAGCCACCTGCTCCTGTTGCCAGGTCAGTGCTGGCCCCTCAGGGTAAATAGCCAGGTGCAGCCGAAATGACTTCAGGTTCAAGTGGCAACAATAGGTAATGTGGTAAATGAGATGATTTAGGAGAGGCCTATATTACATTTTTATATATTATTAAAGTAAAAAAAAAAGATTTATTGTCAAAATCACTGAGACACATAAAAGGAGTTTGTCTTTTTTCAGGACAATAGGATGAGCAATGATAATAAAACTAACTTTACATTTGATATTATTGTGTATACTCATTTGTCTTTAAGGACAATGGCATTTTTTAAGAAGATTTTTATTTATTTATTTGAAACACAGGGTTACAGAGAGAAAGAAATCTTCCAACTTCGGTTCACTCCCCAGAAGGCCACAACAGCCAGGGCTAGATCAGGTCCAACTCAGGAGCCAGGAGCTTCATCCAGGTCTCCCATGTGGATGGCAGGACCCAAACTCTTGGGCCATCTTCTGCTGCTTTTCTGTGCTAATTGCAGGGAGCTGGGTCAGAAGTGGAGCAGCCTGGTATGCAGCTGGTGCCCATATGGCATGCTGCCATGAAGGCAGTGGCTTAATCTGCTTCTGAGGACCCTTGACAATGATTTACATATGTTTACATAAAACATGGTTAAGCCACCATCTGCAGCGCCGGCATCCCATATGGGTGCCAGTTTTGAGTCCTGGCTACTCCACTTCTGATCCAGCTCCCTGCTAATGGCCTAGGAAGGCAGTAGAAGGTGACCCAAGTCCTTGGGCCCCT